TTGCTGCAGCCGGACTGCGGCAGATGGTGGCCTTTTACGGGGAGCCCCGGGACACTCGGGGGTAAGTGACGAAAAAAAAAAAAAAAAGCTGCCCGTCCATAGATAGAACAGGAGCAAATCTGTTCGTCCCTAGGCAGATAGGGCGAGAGGAAAAATGGCCATTTTGAGAAAATGGAGAAGATTGATGCAGTATGTTTGTGTCTTGTTTTGTCTCAGTGTATTGTATTGTCTTTGTGATGAAAATATGGAAGGGGTGAGAAGTAAATTACTAAGGGAAGAAGGCACCCCAGTGGAACCAAGAATAGTTAGGGCATGTGTTGATGGAAGCCCAGGAACTCTAGTCAGAAAGAAAAAGAAAGTTCACAGGAGGAAGGATTATCAGGAAAAAAGTTGCAGCAAAAGGCTATTACTGAATACTTTTCGTTACCGGAGGGTGCGTGAATCGGCGCTGCGGTTGCCACGTGTGCGAGCCGGTCATGGCGCAGCAAGGACTTTCCAAGCGGCGGCAGCCGGCTCTTCCACTGCCAGGAGCCCAAATCTAGACCTGACCTGGAGGCACAGTCTCACAGGCTCTTGCTCCCTGTGCCCGGAAGCAGTTTGAGTCCAGGACTCTCCCCAGGGCCATCTGGGGCTGCCCGGAAGCTATAGCCAATGCTACCGGATGCTACCGGTGTCCCTGATGTTTGGTCATTTTCAATGCCAATAACTAAGCTACAATGGTTCTCCCACACCTGGAGGCTGATGAATAATGAGCACCATTAAGGCTTATTTCAAATGTAAGAAACCTTGAGATAATGTACTAAATTGTTCAGAAGGTTGTTTTCTTAGCGCCTGCTGGAATACTACAGGATTTTCTTTACCATCTGGAGTTCCTGCCTTCGTCCCAGTGCCAGTGAAGACGAAGGTGGAAGAATTTCCAGTGTTGCTGAAAACCTGACGAAACTTCTGCTGAGAACCGGACGAGACTTTGGATCAAGCTAGCTGCCTGCAGAACTTACCTGGACTGTGATTTAAGCTAGCTGCCTGCAGAACTTACCTGGACTGTGATTTACCTGGACTGTGAGTTAATCTATTGAGACACTGCTTTAACTGGACTGAGACAACAAACTGTAATCTACAACAAATTGTAACTCGGTATCTTTGCAAATGGTGTCATTGCTGGTATAATTTTTCTAAGGGCTTCTTGCATGGAGCCATCAATTGGCTTGGTATTGTGGCATTTTGTATCCTCCCCTTCTGCTTGTAGCAGATTATTTATGGTGTTTATGTAAAAACCACTATGGTCATTATTTAAATTAAACAAAAAGGGGAAATGTTAGAGTCTGTAAACAAGTCAGGATGGCTCCTGGTATTTTGCCAGGGGGAGTGGTTTGTGAGGTGTCGCCAGCGAGCGCCAGTGTGGAGATTCCTTATTGGTTGACTGCTGTATCTAGTTTATGTTAATTAAGATAAGCTGTGTGTAATGTATATATACCCCTCCTGTCCTACAATGAACGGCTCCCACTCCTGCTGTATCAATCTACACAAGTTCTTCGTCACCCCTCGGTTATTTTGCTGCAGCCGGACTGCGGCAAGCAAGCTTCTTGATTTCCTAGCACCCTGACTGGGGACTGGTGTTTTTGTCCTTGGGGGACCAGTTCTGTTGTGGTGTCCAGGACTGTTTTGGACTCTTTCAGCCCTTGAAATAAGTTTGCAAGCACCTGGTCCCTGGTTGAATTGAAGTTTGGTTTAGGATGGCTACTGACTCCGGCTTCTGTGTTGCCTCTGACTCCTCACTGATACATTGTCTTCTGGCGCTGGGGGTTGGGGATGATATTTGGTGTCAATATGGATGTTATGCTTTTTTTTTTTTGGTTTATTATTATAATAATAATAATAATAATAATGTGTTTCTCCTCTCTAGTAGCTTTTAGGCTCTTCCCTTTGCCTTAAATATGCTTCAGCTTCACAGAAATGGGCCTAGAAGAATATTTTGAGTGCATCTGTATTTTATTCAACTCTCAGCATGGGTATTTTCTCATGGAAAATCCAGACCCTGCACCAAGCACAGGGCAGACCTGAGGATTAAGAGTCTTAATGGTGGCTGTTTCAACCCATTGTTTGGGCAGGGGATTTACTTTCAAGACACCCCAGGTGGGCAGGTCAAGAAATCCTGGTTCTCATTCAAGGCAGACAGCACTTTTCACCTGGCAGGGCCACACCAAGCACCTAGTTCTGGCTCCTACCTACAGAGTGAGCTTTCCTAGCTTCTCAGACCTGTTCTGCCTCCAAGGGCTGTGCAGCTCCAGGCCCCACCTGCTGCCTACATTCCTGCCACTTCTGATCCTTAAGATTTCTGCTTTCACTTTTGAGATTGGCCATATTTTTTAAATACTAGCAAAAGAAGGAGGGGAGGAATGGGTGAGGATTTTATACAGACTGAGTTCAAGCTCAGTCCTGATGCAAAGTCACTTCCCATCACACAATGATGAAAGGCAAATCTCATTTCCTTTAAAAAACAAGTGACGCCCCAGAGCTGCAAAGAGAAGCACAGATGGCCAAAGGCTTATGGAAGTATCTCATCCTGATCAGGTATTCCAAGGAATGCACGGCAAAATGTCCAAATAAACTATTTTAACATATGAAATTGAGAGATTTACAAATCTGATGTGAATCCTAGGAACAGGTAATCCTAGGCATAAATTGGAGATGATTGGAAAGGACTAGTTTCAGGAAAGTGATGGGTCCAATTCCACATTATATTGGTCTTAGAGAGAAATGCACCCAACCTGAAGCAAAGAAAGACAGTAACAAATGAAGAAAAAAATCTGTTGTGATGCAGAATTGTCACCCTTCTCTCAAATAACTCATTCCTGACTAAAGTGAGTAACTTGGAACCCCGATGCTGGAGGTATCAAAATCCCCAAACTGCTGGGTACAGTGCCACATGCCTATAATTCCAGCAGCTCAGGAGGCTGAGGCAGAAGGATCACGAGTTCAAAGTCAGCCTCAGCAAAAGTGAGGTGCTAAGCAACTCAGTGAGACCCTGTCTCTAAATAAAATACAAAGTAGGGCTGGAGATGTGACTCAGTGGTCAAGTGCCCCTGAGTTCAATCCCTGTTACCCAAACTAAGAAAGAAAAAAGCCCCAAACAGTGCATGTCTTTTGGCCCACTTCCAAGAATCTATATAAAGGAATTAATTGATCATGACTATCCATAATAACATCTGTCAATGCATGAACCACAACTACACACACACACACACACACACACACTCCCCATACAATAATAAATAAATAATCAAGAAATTTTGGCAAGGTGCTGGGGATGTGGCTCAAGCGGTAGTGTGCTCTCCTGCCATGCATGGGGCCAAGGTTTGATCCTCAGCACCACATACAAACAAAGATGTTGTGTCCACTGAAAACTAAAGAATAAATTAAAAATTAAAAAAAAAAGAAATTTTGGCAAATACATGATGATATCTTTGTACTAGGCAGGGACTACCAGGCAGCCTTGGATGTAGAATCTTAATAACATGGAAAGATAAGCAGAGAGTGAGAGGAGCAGGATCCAAAGCAGGATGTCCTCCCAGCACACCTGTGCTCAGGCAGCACAGTTCATCCCAAACCCAGCAGCTTCCCTTGGGTGGGGGGGAGTGGAATGGGCCCTGCACATTTTTCTTCAGGCCCTTGCTCTCTCTGCCTCCTGGAACTGTCTGCTTCCTGCTGTCTTCCTCTCTCCTGCCTCAGTTGCTTAATTTTCAACAAGTCTCTGGAAATGGGAAAAGGGGAGAAGGCAGGTGGTCTACATGGGCAGTGGCCCCAGCTGCTCCCAGTAGGCAGCTCCATTTTGAGATGACCCCCAGGCCTGCTCCCCCAAAGCCCAGGTTCTCTGTGTCCTGAACCCCACCCCAAAAAGGCAGGATCACCTTCCCCTTTGCTATCCCACCACCCTTTCTGCCCGATTCCCTGTCCCTCTGTAGGGAAAGGGAGCTCAGGAAAAAAGCCTCTGCTGAGGGATCTATTCAGAACAGGCTCCCACCCTGGATTTCTCTCAGGTGGGAGGAGGGTTGGGTGGGTATGGGATACGCTGAGGCTAGGAACGCAGAGTACCTAGCAGAGTGCATGGCACACAGCACTCTCCCCTGACATCAGTTCCTGTCTCTTGCCCCGTCCTCACAGCAACAAGGCTGCTCCAGGCTAGACTCTTATCAAGCTTTTGCTGAGGCTGGCTTTGAACTCACAATCCTCCTGCCTCTGCCACACAAGTTGCTGGGATTACAGGCATGTGCCACTGCACCCAGCCATGAGGAGCTCCTGATGATGGGCAGAGTGCAAACAGGGTCCCAAAGTCCACAGTGTGCTCTCCTGAGCAAAACCTTCTGACCCAGGATGCCTCCCTCCTGGGGCCCTGTCTCCAGCCTCCTGCACTCCCCACAGCCTTCTCCTGCCTTGCCCACCCCACCCCAATTCCTAGCTTCTCTGGGGGAGCTTCTGGGAATGGGGCTCTCCGGACAGAGATTAGGTCTATGGTGGGGGCAGGGAAGCAGGCATCCAGGTGCAGGCTTCCTGGGTGGTTGATCTTCTCCAAGTGTCCCCAGCAAGCTGCTTGCAGAAATGCAGTGAGGTCCTTCCCCTGCTGCTGAGGGGGTCTCTGGGCCACACAATGCAACCTACAGATGGTCTGCCTGCTTCTTTTTACCCTAGTGGTTCAGCTGCATTAAGCACTTTGAACCCCCAGCTCTATAATGGAAGACTCATTTCAGATCCTTTGAACAAAGGTTGTGAATGGGACCAGCCACCCTCTCCTGGGCCAGTCTCTGCTGCCACTCGCTCCTCGGGGAGGAGGGCGGTGGTCCTGCCAAGTCTGGTCCTGGAGCAGCTTCTGATGAAGCAGCAGGTCCTGACACAGCCTGGACCTGGCCCTCTGAGGCTTCCCCAGCCCCTGACCCTAGGAACTTCCTCCCCACCTGCCCTTGGCAAATGCACCAAACCCAGCAAAAAGAGGACTCCAGTCAGTATTGTAGTGTTCTGAACTCAAGGACTTTCTTTTTAACATAGGGGGACAACAACATGTGACAATATCAGAAACAAGAACATATCCCTGACCAGACTGTGCTGGCCAGCGCAGAGATCATCACACAGAAATGTAAGGTCATCCAGGCTGGGTCTCTGAATATGTAGAAGCTCCGCCACCTGGAACACAGACTGCAAATAAATAAAGTGCATGGAGACCCCATCACGCAGCAAGGGCCCTTGAGGGAGAGAAAGCGGGCAAGAGGGGAGGCAGGAAAGCAGAAGCTCACTCAGGGTCAAGGCCCCAACAGCGGAGGAACACAAGGCTGGGTGGGGCCTGGGGCCAATCCCTTTTGGCAGAGGCGGCAAAAGACCAAGCCAGGGTGCTGGGCAGGGTTGGGTTTCCCTGGAGTGGAGGTCTGAGGGTGGCCCTGAGGCTCCACTTACTTTTCTCCCTATAGAAAAGGGCTCCTAGGCCCCAAGTGGAGCCCTTTGCAGAGAGGGCTGGGCAGCCAGAGCAGCTCCTCATACTCAACAGCTCCATCCCTTCCATCACACCCCCACAAGCTTGCTGGCAAACTCACACACACATGCGTACTCAAACATGCACACACACTCAGTGAGGAGTGAGGGGCCATCCTCCTTCCTTCCTGGCTGACTGCGGAAGAGGCTGGAGCTGGGGATCCTGTCACCCAGAGGGTGGGACCAGGATCTGAAAGGGCCCAAACTGGGTAGCTGACCCAAGGAGGCCCCTTGGCTCCTGCTTTCTTCTTCTACCCTGTGTCTCTTGTCCCATAGAGGTGGCCCAGAGACCTGTGGATGAGGTCAGAGGCTGACAGGTCTCCAGAAGTGGTCCTGAGTAGACAAGATGAGAAGGGTCAGCAGGATGAAGGGCTCCAGAGGGACTTGGCACAAGGAAGGAAGCTACCAGGCCTAGACTTTGGGAAACCACAGGGACACATGGCAGCCATATTAAAGCCTCCATCCTTGGGGTGGAGCAAACTGAGATCTTCATTGGAGACCCCAGATCCAGTGAGGAGCTGAGAAGGGCAGCAGTAGGAGGCTGGGCCACTCTGTCCCTGGGACTGGCCAGGCTTCTGTAGGTTTTGGTCCCAGGAACTCAGTACATGGGACTTGAGCTACCAGTGCCAGAGGAGCTGAGGGAATAGGCATGGGTGGTGAGGACTCCTCTTGGGTAGCTTCTGGCTATTTTGGGATCCCAAATAGCAGCATGCCTGGGATCTCCAGAGTCAATCCCAGGTCATCTGGATGAGATTCTCCTGTGTGATCCTGGGGATGGAGCCTGAGTCCAGGGACAGAGAGAGGGTTCAGAGACCCATCTCTCTTGTGCCCCATCTTAGCTCACTGTTTTGTCTTCCCTGGGACCTTCCATACCATTCCAAGGAAAGCCATATCCCAGATTTCCTACCCCTGGACCCCTCTCCTCCTAGGTACCTGGGAGCTCTGTACTCCTTCCCTGTTCCACAGGCTGCCAGATCTTAAGGAAGTCTGTGGAGGGAGTGGGAGATTGCAGGTCCAACAGCAGACTCAGCTCCACCCTCCTACCTGTGTGACAAGGGCAAATCCCAGCCCCTTCCCTGGAGCCCCATTAGTGGGGAGAATATATCTTCCTCACAGTGCTGCTAGGAGATCTCTGTTCCCAAGTAAACATGACCCTCCTTCCCATGCCAGGGCCCAATCCCTGGGCCACCCACCCTTCAAGCTTCAAGGCCTCTGTCCATGCTGGGCCTCTACCAAGAAGGCCCTTCCCCTCCTCCTGGGCATTTCACTCAGTTGCTCCCCAGGTGGCTGCAGGAATAGAGGCACTTCCAGGCAGGGATCAGATTCTTGACAAGCCAGATAGTGGCTGGACACCACCTATAAAGACCAATGCCTGAAAAAAAAAAAAAAGATGGAGACCTCAGATTTGCCTGGCCACAGACAGAGGGCCTTGTTTCCTGTGTAGCCTTCTCTGCAACCTCCTTTCTCCTTCTGCCCTCCCCACCTACCCAGACTGAGAGCTGCTGCCTGCTCAGGGAGATCCTTCCATTTTCCCAAATTCCCTGAGCACCTAGTGGGCTTCCTGGGTTATCCTGGGCTGGAGGATGGGCTTCTGTGGCTCTGATAGGGCAATGGCTGGCCCTGCAGGGAGCCTGAGCAAGCCTGTGGGGGAAGGGGAGAAGCAGGATCATCTCTTCCCTACTCCTCCAGGTCTGCAAATGAGAATGACCCCAGATGGGATTAGGGGAGCAAGAGGGATTTCAGCAGAGGGTACAGACCAGTCCTTTGGCCCCAAATATAGGGAAAGAGGAAGATTTGCAAATGGCTGTGTGGAGATGAACAGAGGCCCAGCATTCTGAGATCTGAAAAGGGGACAGACCTGGGGCTTGGCTATAAGGCAACCATCCTTGCCATGAATCCCCCAAGGTGGGTGGAGAAGGGTGGGCACATCTTTTGTGCTCCAGGGACTTCCAGGGACCTTACTGACCCATTCCCCAGCGTTCAGGTGACACCACCCCAGTCTCTGTAAAGGGGGAGGGGATCCACGCTGTGTATGGGAGGGGGCTTCTTATCTGTCCTGTGGTGATATCCTGACTCTCCAAGAAGCTCAGGCCACTGCTGCCCCTAACCCCCTTGAGGAATCACAACAGGGGAGCAGAGGAGAGTCTGAGTCTGCCTTGCCTTTCCCCAGCTTGCCTTGGCATCTTTTCGGGCTGTTTTGTCTGGGTGTCCTCTCTACTGCCCCAAACCTCTCGGGGTCCTCGATATCTACGTGGCTTAGCAGCTTAACCCCCACCCCCATCCCACCCTTTCTCCTACCTTTTTGCTCAGACTTGGCAAATGAATTCGCTGCAGTAAAATTCCTTCTTTCTGATTTCCCAGTTTTGGCCAGTGTGAGGCAACAGGTCAGCTGGACTCGTAATTTTCTCGAGCCCAATGCAAAGGACCCATTGCGTGAGTTTTCTTCCAGGTGTTGACGGGGTCCAGGGTCGGGTAGCGGTCCCCCAGACGCGGGTGTCTACAGTAGCAGGGACCCAGGCCACTCTGCACCCCAAAGCGTCCGGTGGCCCCGCTGTCCTTCACAAGGTGTCCAGGCTCGGCGCTGGTGGGCAGGCGACTCTGACCCGGCCACCACCGCTGCTGGCGCTCACTCAATCCGCACCTGCAGGCGGACGTTGAGTATCACCGAGGCCAACACGTAGCAGTAGGGGAAGTTCGTGCGCAGCCGCCAGGCCAGGTCGAAGAAGGTGATCAGAGTGCGGGTGAGCCCCTTGCAGAAGGCGCTGTAGGAGCCGCGCACCGAGGCGAAGCGCGACAGCCACACCGTCTGGCCCGACAGAGCCGCCGCGGGCGCCGCAGACCCTGCCATGGGCCAGGGCCGCCGCAGGCCCCGCTGACCCGCTGACCTACAGGAGCGCGGACCCACGGCAAGGCCGATAAGAGGTGTGGAGCGCCCCTAACCTGTCCGAGCCCTGCCCTCCAGATCTCCCCGCCCACACCCGGCTCAGGCCATCCTGCAGCCTCCGCCTCCGGCCCCCCTCCCGCCCGAGGGACCCGCTGGTCGCACAGTCCCGCCCCTTCCCGCGGCAGCCTCCACGTAGCTCCGCCCACACAGTGGTCCCGCCCACATCCACGAACTACAGAGGGGCCCCTACTCACGAGGCCCCGCCCACAAGGTCGCGCCTCACCGGCACAGCCCCGCCCATGGGACCCGCCCCACCTCTACCGCGTAGCCTCCTCAAGTCCCTAAGAGCCAAGGCCCAGGCCTGAAAGGACCGGAAGGCCCTGCTGCCAGGATTTGCTCTTGCAGAATCCTCTAGAGTGTAGTGGGAGTGCAGGAATGGCGGGAGTCCATACAGAAGCTCATCCAGAAGGCCCTGTGCATTCACAGCACCAGCCTTCTCCCACAGTGTCCCCAGAAAACCTGGCCAGACAACCCACTGTACCTTTCTTTCTTTTGCATTTCTCTTTCTTTAATACACATTGTGCAGAACTGTACCAGCAAGTGCCACCAAACAGACGAGAGCGTTTTTCTGATTTTTGTCTATTCACTGGTCCTGTATACTTCGTTATTGGGGAATCTTTTTCTTGTCCCTTTCTCAGCACTCATCTAAGCACCCTGCCATGGGCCAGGGCCTCGGCAGGCCCCGCTGACCTGCTGACCTACAGGAGCGGGGACCCATGGGGTGGCCCACTGTTGGCCCTGGTTCCTGCACAAGGTTGGTTTTCATCTGTCCTGGGTTATGGCATTTTCTTGCTGGTGTGCTTAAAAGCCCTTTCCTGGTTTCATCTAATCTTTACATAAGCTAAAGCAAACCCATTGCAAATTCGAGGATGTTTTTACAGAGTAGTTAGTGAAATGAGGAAATGCTTATGTTTCCTTAGGTTTAAGACTTTAAAAGCACTCACTATGACCCCATTCCAATTTTACAAAACTGCCCTGAGTATCTATACTCTCTCAAAATGCCTGTTCCCTGTCACAGTTGAACATTTCTATTGCATCCTATACAACTGTTTAGGGAACCCAAAGATTCACATACACTTGGGCAATTGCCTACCTACATGTTCAAATTGGGGGGGGGGGGGGAGAAAGGCAGCTCCAGGGCCACCAGGTTTTTGTGTAACATGATTTTTTTGTGTGAAAATTGTTCAACATTGTTCATCTCTGGATAAGGGCGGTAGGAGGGAAGACTAGACTTTTTAGTCTCTCTCTCCATATATATATATATATACACACACACAATGTGTCTATACATATTATTTAATACAATGAAAAATGTTATGAAAGAAAACAATCACATAAATATAGACTTAAGCCACATAGAAACCTTTTTATTCCAGCCTGGATTGAACACCATTCATTTGCAAAGCCTGTTTCCTCCAATCATTTCTGAAACTCACCTTGACCTTTTCTTGTTTATTTTTAATATTTAATTTTAAAATAATTATAAACTCACAGGAAATTTCCCAAGTAGTATAATAAACATGTTGTGCCTTTCATCCAAAGGTGACAATTTCTGTAGATGTTGCAGTATATCAAATCTAGGAACTTGACATTGGTTTATTCCTACTAACTAGAACACAGGTATAATTCTACTTTTGCCATTTTTTAACCTGCATTGATGTCATGTATGTGTGTGTACATATTAGCTCTAGCAATGTTATATCATTTGAAAATTTGTGGAACTATCACTACAATGAAATTACACAAATGTTTCGTCACCCAATTTGGGCTACCTCTTGGCCCTCACACTCAGCCACCCTGTACATATTTTGTTATATATATGCCTATTTCGTTCTCTTTGCAGTGACTATACATGGTATTGTGTTTTTAATATATGTTACACATTTGGTTTCCACAAGTTCTTGCTTGAATGTGTGTTTCTTACTCTACCCCCCCCAAATGTCTCTTAACTGAGATAGCCCACATTCTCCCTTGAATATGCATCTGCTTTCCTAAATAAATATCTGTGTCTCTGATGGGTGCTGAAATTCTTATTCATTACATACCACAAGGACTCCACTTGTCTTAAGTAGAGTTCCTCCTCTCTGGGAATTCCTCCCATGACAGTACTATAAGAAATGGACTTATACCTGATGTCAATAGTCTAGTTTGGTTCACCCCCACTTCTGTTTTTGACCAGTGGGACAAAGGAGTTGGCTGCAGGTGTTCCCACAGGTGAGACTTAAGGTCATTTACATTTGAAATCAGCCTTGAGGATGCCATTATAATGTTTCCGGGTTAGCCTCCAGGTGTATTTCCTGCGTTTGAATAAGACCGGCCATTGATATTCTTATTAGTTAGGGTTTATTTAAATCTTTAGTTGTTCTAAAGGTTCTTTTTGGTTTATAAGGCTGGATAAATGAACTACTTTTATAATGACCTGGGGGGACTGTTTGCTTGTTTTGTGGCACTGGGGATTGAACCCAGGAGCAATATAGCACTGAGCTACATCTCCAGTTCTTTTTATTATTTTTAAATTTTAATATAGGGCCAGACTAAGTTGCCTAGGCTTTCCCCTGAACTTGGAATCCTTTTTCCTCAGATTCCAGAGTACTTAGGATTATAGGCATGTGCCACCCTACCTGACTCCAAAGTTTTATTGAAGCAAACTATAAAGTTCTAGAAATCATATAGTTCTGATATAATGCTTGATGTCTTAGCATGCCACAAAGGTTAGCAAACTGTTTTGCCAAGTTACTAAACTCTCCATATAGTAATAATGTCTTATATATTTTTAGTAATCGTTTTAGATGCCATGAGCCATGTGCCTGTAGTTAGCAAGTGGCAATCTTGCTTTATACATCCTCTATCTCATGAAAATTTTGAAATTAAAGATTTAATATAAGACTTAAGTCTGACTTTAACCTTTTGTTGTGAGGGGCGGGCGGGGATTGAACTCAGGGGCACTTGATCACTGAGCCACATCCCCAGCCCGTTTTTTGTATTTTATTAGAGACAGGGTGGCTTAGCACCTCGCCATTGCTGAGGCTGTCTTTGAACTTTTAGTCCTCCTCCCTCAGCTTTCAGAACCGCTGGGATTACAGACATGAGCCACTGTGCCCAGCATAAGTCTGACTTTTAAAGAAGTCTTCTCAGTTATGCTGTTGGAAATGTGACTTGGTTTGCAAAATACATTTAAGATATTTTACGTGGAAGGAAAGAAGCGAATGAAGGAATTAGTGGCAGTAGCTCAATAGTAACAGGTTTATTCAGGGGAGAAACGTGGGGGGGGGGCGCCTAGTGGAGGACATGAGGCTTGGGGCACAATAGGAGAATGAAGAAGTAGGGGTATTTTTGTGCTGTCAGGGTATGATCATTTGGTCTTAGCCTCCATTTTTTGAGGTGGTCACTATTCTATGGGGAAGCAGATGTTTTCAGGATTCCAGTCCCAGATAATAATTTCTATTTCTCACACATGTACTTGTTGGCCATCTCTTAAGAAATGTCCATTCATCCAATGGGAATTTAGATGGTGCTGGGGCCCCTGGTAATACAGAGCAGAATAAATGAAGAGTCTGCAGCAGTAGTCAGGGATTAAAAGACCCAAGGTCATAACATTATTCCTATTAACACCTTTTTCCCTCTATAATTTCACCCATCAATTCCCACCCTGTTTTACTTCTACCTGTTTCCAGGATATTTATTATCAAGATTTTACTATCTCTGACATTGAAAATTGTGTTTATCTTATTTTATGATACACCAATTTATTTTTCAGTTGGCTTTTTTACAAAGTTGTAGGTCTATTTCCTTCAGAAATTGTAATTAGTACTTTGTTGCATCATTTGGCTTTACTTTCTAAAATCTATTTTCTTGAATAATTTTCTCTTTGTTTCTTTTCTTGCCTTTACTTTATATCAATTTGTAAAATAAATATTAAATTTTAACTCCAAAAAAAGAAATGTCCATTCAGATCCTTTGCTGATTTTCAAATTGAAGTTATATAGACATAAAAAGACACTTACCATTTTAACCATTTTAAAGTATTTAATTCAGTGGCCTTAGGTACATTCAAAATGATATGCAACCATTAGCACTATCTTCTTTGAGAACTTTTTCATCAATCCAAATGGAAATCCCAGACCAATCAAACAGTCACAACTCAATACACTTCCTGCTTCCAGCCCATGGTAACCACTAATCTATGTGTCTATAGATTTTGCCTATTCTGCATATTGCTTATTAATGGAATCATACAATTTGTGGACTTTGTGATTGTCTCATTTCACTTGTTGCAGCATATATCAGTACTTTATTTCTTTTTATGGCTGAATAATGTTCCATTGTATGAGTATACTATATTTTGTTTATCTAATCATCCAATGAAAGACATTTACAAAGATGCCAGAATAGTGGTACCAGAACTCACCTGCTCCTCTATGGGATGAAAGCAAAGCAACAGATGTATACTTGCATATGGAGGTGAGTGGTTTTGGGGAGAGCAGAGGAACTCAACAGCAGAGAAACAGACCTGGTGAAATCTTGCAGAATAGCAAGAGAAACAGCGTGCCACAGCACATGTTGTCTAGCACAATAGCCAAGGGATAGCGAGTCCCCTTTCTGCAGGGATAAAGGTGAAAGAGAGTCTCAGTGAGCTCTAATGGTGGAGAAGATGGCACTCTGCAAACATACAACCTAAATAGATAACAGATCTGGGGTGTGCACAGTGAGGTAACTTCCCAGAACTAGAAAAGCAATTCTAGAATTGATATGGAAGCACAAAAGTCTCTGAATAGCCAAAGCAATCTTGAGCAAATAGAACAAAGCAGGAGGCATCACAATATCTGATTTTAAGACATACTACCAAGCCATAATAAAAACTATCACAAGGTGGCCAGCACCTTGCCAGGGTAATTCTTCCTGTG